TAAGCTATCTTAAAATCAGCTCTAAATCTTCCGTTTTTTTTAAAGAGTTCAAAAAAAAAATTTTTTTTTAACTAAAATCAGTCCAAATACCTGGTCGGCTTTCTAATCACTCTCCCACTTCTAGTTCTTTGCTCAACATCCCTTGTTTCTGAGTTAGCAGTATTTGGTAGTTGTTTTTCTAAACTTTGCCCTTGAGAATATGTGGAATCATATCCTTTTACATCTGTTTTCTGTGCATTAACTCCTTGTTCTGTTCCTCTGATATTCTCTTCAACAGCTGAACTGTTTTCTCTAATGTCTTTTCTATTTCTTCTCAATACTGATCCACCTGATCTCAGTATATATGATCTAGGCGTCTTATATACTTCTTCTACAACTGCTGGTTTCCAGCGATTATCTTGATATACCCTAACACAATCTCCTTTATTTAGCTGATGATAATGTTTTGTATGACGATCATAATACGACTTCTGCTTAGTTCTTTCTTGGTTGATTTTTTCTTTTACATTTTTCACAACCTTGAGGTTTAAGTAATTCTTCGGATGTAGGAAGAATCGTTCTTGTTCTTCTACTCATAAGTCGTTGAGCTGGTGATCCTAACATCTCATTAGTTGGAGTGTTCCTATGAGCTAACAATGCTAAATAAGGATCAGCATGATCTGCTTGAGCTTTCTTTAGCAATTTCTTGGTCGTTTGTACTGAACGCTCTGCTAATCCGTTCGACTGTGGATGGTATGGACTGCTTGTTATATGTTTAAATTGGTATTTCTTTGCAAATTCTTAACTTACAAACCGAAGTCCATTATCAGATATCATTATCAATGGTATACCGTACCTTGCAAAATGAGATTTCATGTAACTGATCACTGTCTGACTTCGAGTATCCAGTAGTTTGGGGATTTCAAAAAAGTTGGAATAGTAATCTACAATTAATAAGTATACATCTTTGTTAATCTCAAATAAATCTGTTGCAACTTTATACCAAGGTAAATTGGGAACTTCATGCGGTATCATAGGCTCTCTTATGTTTTTATTCTGGTATTCATTACATATAGGACATTTTGAAATTTTATCTTCTATCTGCTTGTTCATAAGTGGCCAAAACAAAACATCTCTAGCTCTTTTCTTACATTTTTCTATACCAAAATGACCTCATGAATTAAATTTAACATCTCTTTTTGCATAGATAAAGGAATAATTACCCTTCCTCCTTTGAAAAATAAGTCATTTTCCATTGTCAACTCATCTCTGTAGTCCCAAAATACTTTGACTTGAGGTTCTACCTGATGTTTCCTTTCTGGCCAACCTCTCAGAATATATTTCTTTAAGCACTGTAGTGTAGCATCACATTCACTTTCTTTCTTCAGTTCATAAATTTTGTCATCAGATGCTGGAATCAGCGTACAAATTTCTGTATCTTCATCATTATCTTCTTCTGTTGTATTCAAATATGCTCTACTCAAAGTGTCTGCTATTAATAAGACTTTACCCTTTTTGTATTGTACATTTAAATCATATTTTTGTAAATTTCACAGCATTCTTTGCAATCGCTGTCGTGCTTTAAAAAGAGGTTTTTTAGTTATGCTTTCTAATGGTTAATGATGAGTTTCAACTGTAATATGCTTGCCATATATATATCGATGAAATTTAGAACATCCAAAAGTAATAGCTATATTGTTAATAAGAGTTCTGAAGCTTTTTTTCTATCTGAGCATAATTTTTCTGACTTTTCTTTAGAGCTCTGGAAGCGAAAGCAATTGGTTGGTTTTCTTGTAGTAAAACAGCACCTAATCATTCAGAACTTGCATCTACTGAAAGAGTTACATCCTTATTAACATCATAGAATTTTAATAGGGTGCTTTTGCAACCAATTCTTTAAGTGTTTCGAAAGCTTTTTGATGTTTTTCAGTCCAGTGCCAGAGAACATTTTTCTCAAGTAACTGTCTTAATGGTGCAGTAATAGTAGTTAAGTTAGGAATAAATTTGGCTAAATAATTTATCATTCCCAAAAATCTTTGTAGCGAAGGCACATCTGTAGGTTCTGGCATTTTAACAATTACTTCCACTTTAGAAAAATCAGGTTTTAGTCTATTTTCACTTAGCTCATGCCCTATATAATTCACACGATTAACTTTTATTTTACATTTAGCTTTATTGAACTTCAAATTATTTTCTCGTGCTCTCTGGAGTACGTTTTTAAGTCATAGCTCATGTTCGTTTTCATTAGATCCCCATATTAAAATATCATCTATAATACATTCAACACCTTCTATTATTTGGCTTAATTTTCTTTGGCAAATTTCTGGAGCTGAACATATGCCAAAAGGTAATCTTTTAAATTTGTATCTGCCAAAAGGTATATTGAATGTACACAAATTACTACCTTCTTCGTCAAGCTGGATTTGCCAAAAAGCACTATTAACATCTAAAACAGAAAATATTTTAGCATTCTAGTGACAACTTTGCCAATGGTTAATATAGGATAATGTTCTCATTTTATAGTTTTATTTAAATCTCTAGGATCTAAACATATTCTTATTTTGTTAGGTTTGAACACTGTGACCATTGAATTTACCATTCAGTTGGTTCTCTTACTTTCTCAATAACATTTAAATTTTCCATTCTTTGTAATTTTTTCTTCACTTTATCTCGTCTAGCTATGGGTATTTTTCTTGGAGGATGAATTACTGGTGTTGCATCTTGTTTTAACTGGATTTTATATTCTCCATTCAAACAACCTAAGCCTTCAAATACATCTTTGTATTCCTCCAGTAAGTCTTCAGTGTAAACAGACATTACTTTCTGAATCAAACCTAGTTGCAAACATGATTTTAATCCTAATATAGAAGGTACTTCTTTGTCAATAACTTGGAATTCCACAACATAATTATTTTTTCCATATTGGCAGTTAAGTACTACTTTTCCTAAAGTATCCATTTTATTCCCAGAGAATGTAACTAATCTTTTAATTTCAGACTTCTGTATCGGAACATTTAGCAATTTCACTTTGCATTTTAGAAATAACATTGCACATTGCTCCAGTATCTAACTGAAAATTTAGTTTACTTTTATTTACATTAACATTAACAGTCCATTTCTCTTCCTTGTTATCTGAATTAAGGTTTAATGTGCCGACATAAAATTCTAACTCTTCCTCAGAGTCATGATTTATTAATTTAATTTGCCTATCTTTTTTGTTTACCTTGACTGCTTCATTTTTTACAAGGGCAATCCCCCAAAAAAAAGGTCTCCTATTTTTTGGGGACGTAGAGAAAGTTTTAATACGGTTGTTGGCAACACTGTTGTGAGTGGTGCCTTCTCCGCTACCACATAAGCACGCAGGCGCTTCGCTCGGATGCTGTCTTGGCTTGGCAGCCATTCGAAATGGAGCTCCCAATAAACGTTACCGCCAAGTGCGAAGTGCGCGCAGTTATTCAATTTTTGAACGCAAAAGGCATTAAACCGGTTGAAATTCACCGCCTATTGACAGAAGTGTATGGACAGTCGTGCATGGATGTCAAACCCGCTCGCAAGTGGTGTAGAGAGTTTAGAGCCGGTCGTACTGAAATTCATGACGAAGAAAGGAGCGGGAGGCCATCAATTGCCGGATTGTTGAGTACGTAAAATGCGTAAAGATCGGAGGATCATATGGATGCTCCTGAAGCTCCCCAATGCTTCCTAAAGGGCATGCGGCAAGCTGGTATGACATGGGCATTGTAAAACTGCCACAATGTCTACAAAAATGCATCGACCAAAATGGCGATTATGTTGAAAAATAAAGCATTCTGCAATCTTTAAAGTGATGTAGCAATTATAGAAAATAAACGGTTCTTTGTATATCTAAAAATCTAGGAGACCTTTTTTTGGGGATTGCCCTCGTATTATATAGCTTTTACACAGATTCGCGAAATGATTTTCCTTTTTACACTTATGACAGATTTTTCCATATGCTGGATACTTTCTATACTCGTGAGATGTTCCACGTTTAGAACAAACTTTTATCTTTTGTTTCTCCATATTTACCTCTTTGTAGGTATTATTATGTTTATTTAGTTTCTTTTTCACTCCGTTTACAACAGTTTCCTCATTTTTCATGATTTTCATTTGATGTGCACTTATTTCAGCAGATCTGCTTATATCAAGAGCTTTTCTAATGTTAATTCTGTTTATGTAACAATCTTGCTCTCACTACATCATCTTGAATACCACAAACAATTTTATCCTTTATTAACCTATCTGTTATTTGTGCAAACTCGCTTGTTCTAGCTTTATTTCGAAGGTCAGTTACATACTCATCTATGGTTTCTGACGCAGTTTGATTTCTAGTAAAGAATAAATGTCTTTCATATGTAATGTTTTTCTTAGGAATACAATATTCCATAAATTTTGTCTTAATTTAATTTCTTTATCCTCTTCTATAGGAAATGTATTATAGTATATTTAAAAAACCACGAACTCCTATTATATGAAGAAAAGTATTAACTCTTACCTTCTCTTCTTTATTATGTAATCCACTAGCTACTTCATATATGTATTTCCAATGATTGCAGCCATCTTTGCCAATATGAAGCAAAATTTCCATCAAATTTCATGCTCTGGTGGTTTTAAACTTTCCATTTTTAAAGCAAAATACTTCTGACACTATATAGAATATTGAGGGTGCATTTTTAGTTTTTATAAACTATTTTGTTTTATTTTCATATCAGTATCCAAAGTGTTGCCAATTACAAGTTACTAAATATTAAATGTTAAATGTTGCCATTTACAAATTATTAAATATTACAAGTACCATAAACTAACAAATGACAAAACAAAGCTTTCCCATGAACAGAACATTTTTACTGAAAGCTAACTAAATTATTTAACATAAATTAAAACATTATTTTAATAAAATTTTAATTCTTTAATAAAACTTGTTAAACATATACAAAAGAATACAATATATATATATATTTTTTAATTTATGCATTTTACCAAAAATAATAATAAAAATAAAATACTATTTTCAAAGGTATCCTCTTCTTTAATAATTTTAATAAAAGCCGTTTCTGACAAGTTCATTTCCGAAGCTATATTTTGTTTGACATCACTTGGGACAGACTATAAAAAAGCAAATTCAAATTTAAAAGAAATTATAATCATATAACACATGCAATAATTAAATAATGTGTAAATTAAAGTTAATAAATTTCAGATCTAAAATCTCCACACAAACCTCAGAATGACATGACTCTTAATGTATGATTCATTCATTTTATAACATCTCATAACTTCTTCAATATGAAAATTCTGCAGTTAAGAGCATTGATAAATCTCTCAAGCACGCCTTCATGGTGTGACTGAATAGTATGTCCTAAGTTCAAATACAGGTGAAGGTATTGCACACTTTTGGCCTACCAGCAGTGGAGAATTAAACTTGTTAAACAATAATAGTTCGAATTGGACTTGCATCCTGGAAAAAAGAATGACTGCATGGTTGTTTTTCCCATATATAACATGTATATGGGCCAGTTTACCATAAAAATCCCACACAAAGGCACCTCTCCCCATAGGCAAATAGCTGTTGAGATGCTTTGCCTTAATCAATTGACCAATCAAATCTCTCGAACAAATTAATCTATTGCTGCATAAAATGAAACAATAATCAATGTACCTTCATACTTGGCAATAATCTTCATACTTGAATTATTACTGTCGACTATAATCTCAGATTACAATTAATTGTGCATATTTCCAAGAATACTGATATTTGACTTTTTAAGAGGCAATAAATTAAAAATATTAAGCAATGAAAATATGAAGCAGATGACAAGAGCAACAGATAGAATACAAGATTGATTGGTGGGAATTTATGTGAAAAAACAAGAATATGCATAGTTCCAAAATGCATAAATGAACATGTTAATTTCATTAATTGAAATGTTAATAGAATAACAAGGTTTTTATAAAACATATTTTTTAAACGATGACTATTATTCACTGTGAATTACAAGAATGACTGCATGGTTGTTTTTCCCATATATAACATGGATATGAGCCAGTTTATCTTAAAAACCCCACACGAAGGCAAATAGCTCTCAAGATGCTTTGCCTTAATCAATCCACGAACCAAATTTCTCAAACAAATTACTAGTAACACCTCAAATAAATCTCATTGTTTTAATTCAGCTATTTTTCTTAATATAAATAAAGTTCAGAAGTTGTTACCAGAGTCGTAGCTAGGGTTTTCAGTGCCCAGGGACAACTGAAGACTTCGCGCTCCCTACTGCTTGCCAAGGATGGAAAACATTTAATTCTAAAATGTCGTAACATCAGTTTGGCGCCCCTTGGATTCTGCGCCCGAGGACTGATGCCCCCCTCTAGCTATGCCCCTGGTTGTTACCAACCAATGAAAGCTGCTGAATTTATCATTCCTGTGATAAAAGTACATTGCCTGTCAGTGTAATATGGTGAACCACATCCAAAGGTCTTTTACATAAACTTCTTAATAACATTATAGAGACATTAGGTTATTGCGAAGCAGAAGACATGAAAAATGAGCAATGCCTTTGCCGGGACTAGAACAATGGACCTCTCGAATATGTGTCGAGCGTGCTGACCACTATACCACGAAGTCATGCTAAAAAGGCGGGAGAAATACCTTATATACTCCCCCTTTTAAAGGGTGACTGGAGATTAGGGGACCCAATCACCAAATCTTGATGGTGGAGAATCATCATCCACACACTTTTAGTTTGGGTGCCATGTAGAGACATGAGGTTATTTTGAAGCAGGAGAGATGAAAAACGAGCAATACCCTTGCCGGGACTCGAACCATGGACCTCTTGAATACGCATCGAGCATGCTGACCACTACACCACGAAGGCTTGCTAAGAAGGCGGGAGAAATACCTTATAACATTTTTTAACAAGTATTACTTTATATGCATTATAACAAATAATTTGATAAAATAATTTAGTATTATAAATAACATAGGTTTTTACCAGCATATAATATATCAACTTAAAAAATTTTAACTCAGGTCTTTTCATGTGTAAAAATAAATAAAAAGTACAATATCAAAGGATCATTACGAAATTTTATAATAAACTGCAATCCTTCCAAAGGATTTTTTTTTTTTTTTTCCAGTTCCATGTTTCATACAGTCATCTTTTTTTTTGAAGTGGTAACATATTCTTTTAATATTTTGAAATTTATAGATTTGCATCACTTTTTATTTCAAAAAGAAATGCTAAAAGGAAAATAAATTAAAACTACCCCCCCCCCCTTCATTTGAGCATGCTGACCACTACACACCACGAAGGCTTTGCTAAGAAGGCGGGAGAAATACCTTATAACCATTTTTTAAACAAGTATTACTTTTATACATTATAACAATAATTTGATAAAATAATTTAGTATTATAAATAACATAGGTTTTTACCAGCATATAATATATCAACTTAAAAATTTTAACTCAGGTCTTTTCATTGTAAAAATAAATAAAAAGTACAATATCAAAGGATCATTACGAAATTTTTATAATAAACTGCAATCCTTCCAAAGGATTTTTTTTTTTTTTTTTTTTTTTCCAGTTCCAGTTTCATACAGTCATCTTTTTTTTTGAAGTGGTAACATATTCTTTTAATATTTTGAAATTTATAGATTTGCATCACTTTTTATTTCAAAAAGAAATGCTAAAAGAAAAATAATTTAAAACTAATTCCCTCCCCCCCCCCTTCATTTGAGTTTTAATTTTATTGAACAGAAAAGATTTATATCACTTGACAAGTAAATAATAATTTTATTGATTTAATGGTGAAATCCTCTCTGATAGCAACATAGTGTTTTCAAATTGAAAATTTTTCATTTAATAGAGGTTTTTTTATTTCTTTAATACAGTGTTTTAAATGGGGTTATCATATCTAGTGGCATGTGATGCTAGAAGAAACTATGGTTCTCCTACTACTACTAATAAATTCCCAGACTTACAGGAACTAATGTCCCAGTTATGTATGCAGGAAATTTTGAAACTCAAGGCAAAAATGTTTTGCTTACAACTCTGTTCCTTGTAGATTTTTCCTAAAGAACTGCATAAATCAGCCAATCAGATAACCTGAAAATTAAAATTCCTGGAAACATTTCTGTGGACGTGCCATTGAGGGTAGTTAGTACATGTGATACCTGTTTCAGTCATCTCAGCATCAAAATCTCACTAAATTTATATTTTGCTCAATAAGTAAAACTACTGATTTAGAAGCATGATGGCCTTCTATATGAAAAATGTTCAGCAGATTTCTGGCACACTATGCACAGTTCTATTTTTTGAAGTATTCCTTTTTTTTTTTTTTTTTTTTTTTTTTTTTTTTTTTGATGAATTATATATACATAATATTAAAAAAAATATTGCATTTACAGGTTTATTTATAATAATAAGGAAATAAAGTTATTCATAATAAATATAATGCGTTTATTCAAACATTATTGATCCAACAAGTTGTATAAAACAAAAAAAATTACCTTTCGACAAAATATCTAAAAAACAAAGTTTTTTAATACTCTCATATTATCCACCCAACCCTACTGCAAAGTCGTCAATCACTGGCAACTTAATTTTTTACAAATCTAACACATGAAGATTTATAGCCATTTTAACAAATGGTGGCATGTTGAAAATTACATTTATTTAGTACATAGTGGATATGCAAGCCGCATTTAAAAATTAGCTAATTAAATATATTAAGAACATCTAAGTTTAATTTAGCATGTTAAACATAATTAGAATAATTAAATTCAGTTAGCAGAAAAGTATGGTATTAATCATATGCAGTTAAAAATTAGCTGGTTCAACATGGTATTTAAAACAATTCAAGTTGGTAGAAAAGTATGATCTTAAGTTGATATGTAGCTAAAGATTAGCACAAAAAAGTAAAGTAAATATTAGTTCTATTATTGAAATATATTTCTAATTCTATTATAAAAAAAGTTTTAAAAAATTTTTATACTTACATCTAGCAATACTTCACTTTTTTTTTTTTTTTTTTTTTTTTTTTTTTTTTTTTTTAAGATCTTGATGGCCCTGAAAAAAATCACCCTTTCTTTTTCAAGAACTTATGCCATTAAACGTATATTGTCATAGACATCTTACCCTAAAGAGTATAATCTTTAATTGCATTTAAAATTTCCATGAATGTTATGCTTAACTTCATGCCAAAATAGGTATCCAAGAACGTGATGAGCTGGATTTTTCTTGTAAAGACCGCTTTTGTGTATGTATAATTTTACTTTCAGGGGCCACCTCTTACATTTTTTAGACTGGGTATGTGCACCAGTTGCCGGATTAATGAAATTTGAGAAATGATTAGCATAATACCTATGTCTCCCTAAGAATGAATATGTCTGCCATTCATCAGTCATAATAGTTGTTCCCTTGGCCACATACTTCTTAATCAGCAGTATTAGAATCTCCACTGATCTGTTGTTTGCTGTGATCATATTTTCGATGAAGGGAATAATCCTTTTGCAATGCAAAACTGCAGAAAAGCATCTGTCTTAGACAACTTCCTTAACAAAAATAATTAAATCCATTCATAGTTAAAAAAATTCAGAAAAAATAGCGTGGAAATCAGACAAAATAATAGTGAATAAGTGAAGAACAAATTACACATGCAAAGGTGAACAATAAGTGCGACACTACAAAATGCAAAATTATGAACAGCAATGTAAGAAACCAAAAACAACATAAGAGGAATGATTGCTACCTCCAAATATGTGTATCCATTGGGTTGCCAGGTTTGAACTATTATTGCATTGTTTGTGGTGTTTACATTTACCGGGTTCTTTGCAGAACTGTTTCAACATTTTATTTAAATATATACCAGTGATTCTCAAACTTTTTAAAGCTGTTGCCTCCCTAAGGAACGAAAAAGTTTTCAATACCCTCTATGTGAAAAATCCTGTAATTTAAGATATGGGAAAGGGGGGGTTCCTGAATTATAAAAGGCAAAAATTTTAAGTTATTTTTTCGGTAGACTTATACACCAGATTTGTTTGTTTAACTCCATAGTTTTGCCCTGGAAGGAAATAGCATTCCTTTGGTTAAAACTGAAATGACTAATACA